CTCGAAATTCGTAATCAAGAACAACCCCAAAACTCGATTGGTTTTGAAAACAGGTAATTGAATTGCAACTCGCCTGATCAAATGCTGTTTAATGATTCCACGAGCGCACTTTCGTTTTAATAAAACCAACAAAAAGTCGGGTTTCCAATGGCAATTGCCCAATATAACAATATCACAGTTCACACGCACAGCTCGAACACGAAAAAAATACTGAGCCAGAGCAGCTGAAAACCAACTGCTAACTGTAAACCAGTTCAACTTCAAAACGACGTTGCCGTTGCCATTGCCGTTTGCTCTCTCCTCTCCTACTGCTCTCCGCTTTGCTGGTCACTTTCGTGAGTGGACTCTAGCCTTGCGTGCGAGTGTGTGGGTGTAGGCTTCCACGATATACAGGTAAACTTCACTTGATCGAATTTTAAAAATGTCCTTAAACCGAGGTCTTCAAATAATAAAAAAAATATTTTTTTAATTTCATCAAATAAATATTGTATTCTTACTATCGGAGTTCCTATTCCAACTGTTTTGGAAAATATATATTATTTTAATCCTATTCTTTTGATGGAAATTTTAAGATAAAAATAATATTAAGAAGATTAATTTTCGGCTAAGTGCTGATTGCATTGATGAAGCTCTACTGTATTTGATAACTGTTGTTGCTGGTGTTGTTGTTGTTGCTCCTGGCTGACACACGCGAGTTGTGGGTGAGCCTTAATCACATTTAAACGAGCCGAGGGGGAGGCGGTGGGGCGATGAGAGAGCCAGCGAGCGGTTGACATTGACAACCCCCCTTTTTTCTTGGGAGCGGACGCACGCCCATGTGTGCGTAGGCTAATATCGCTACACTTCGAAGTTTCGTTAAATTTTTGCTCTGTTTTGTTTGTTTCTCTCTTTATCGCTCTCCTCTTTGGCTCTCCCGTCCGCTGCTCTCCCGCCGCTATTTGTTGTTAATTCGAACCCGAATATAACTTCTACTTTTTATTGTGCTTTTACGCTCAGTTTTATGACAATACCATTTTTTCCACTGCGGGTAATTAAGAACTCGCAGGGCACGAAAAAAAACGAACAAATTCAATGTGAATCCACAAATGGAGGCGATCGAGAAACAAAAACAGGCCACCACACTCATCTTTTTATTAACGCCAATTGTCGATTCAATTCATTTTCTTCAAATGCTCCTTGGCGAATAAAGATAGTAGTATTAAAACTTTTTCGTTGCGTCACAAAAACCATTATTCCCATATGGCACTGGACTTATCATCGAACCTATGGTCGAGAACTAAAAATAAATAAAAGTCGTAAAACGGAAGCCATCTGATAAAAAAAATTATCTTTAGAAACATTTTGTAAATTTCGGAATACTACAATAACTGCTTTTACAAAACTTATTATAAAAACTCCATATAATATCCATTCCCATAAGGCCTTAATAAAAAAAGCTCATTAAATTCTGCATTATTCCAATTAAAGTGCAGTGCCCAATGCCGATAAGCTATGGAGTTACGCAACTGGAGATCGGGGACTCGAGTGCGGGGCTTTATATGGCTAATACCCCAGACGACCACTTGTGCAGCAAATACTATACTTGAGATGTGAAACTGCTTGATTTCTAGAAAAGTTCAGATTTTCCATTCATAAACTGGGTCTGCGGCTGTGGCTAATCAGCAAGAAATTGATTGATCGATGGGAAGTGCTCGGTGGAAATTTATAGCGCGACCCATAAATCATAATCGACTGGAATTTATTGTGCGCTATTTGCAACTACTTGAGCTCAGCTTTTTTGGCATTCCGTCTCAGCGTAAGATTTTTCTAGGCAAAGCCGAAGATCACATGATAGCCCCCCCCCCCATACCATATGATTGCATAAAACTCGAAAACTCGCGACTCTGTAAGAGAGCACGACTCACAGACACTGTGGAGAGTATTATATTTATACGGGTCTGACTAACACTCACACTGCGAAAGTAGGTGCGTATCTGAGTATCTGAGAGATACTCGGGGGCTTACGAAAGAGATAGCGCTACGGTAGCCAGGTATCTGGCGCTCTGACTTTAGCTGTGACTTCGGGCAGGTGTTTGCACAATGGGTCCCATGACAGGTGAGCCACCCAGCTAACTAGTAGCTGTCATTAGCTAGCATCACGTGCCAAAGTGCAGGCAAATTGAGTTAATTTACCGATACTCCCTGCTGCCACAGCACGTGCTTTTGGTCAGTAGACTATAGTTTTTCGGGTATAGCCCCAAAACCCGAGATCACCTTGAACCCTGGGGTTTTCGAGTTTTTCGCTTACCTTCGCAGCTCCGAAAAAAGACACTAAATTCGATTCCCCGCGAGTGCGAGCGATAAATTTAGAACTTGTTTGTTGCCGAGCGAGAGTATCCGTAGTATCTGTATTTGAATCTCAATCGGAACCTGATTCGAGCGGAGCACACGTCTGCTCACCGCCAGCGATCGACTGCGTTTAAATTTGGCACTCGCTGCTCCGACTTGGGAACCTCGCGTCGCAGTTGCAAATCAGCTCTCCATATCTCTCACTCTCTATAACTCACACCCTCTATAGGATCGGGTCTCTCCCGTACACTCTCCCTCATCGGGCATGCCAACTATGTATGATCGGGGGTCGTCGTTATCAGAAATCAGAAATCGACAAATACCCGTACTAAAGTCGAAATCCTCGAGTGCTACATATGTACAAATGTCCGCATTGCGTAGCCACCGCCGGGTCCATTATCAATTTAAATTAATAACGCTTCAACCAAGTAATTCCCTGGTCTAGATAAGTCGGGTTGATATTGACAGTTGTTTGTTTTGGTTTTGTCAGCACTATAAATTGACCCTCTTCGAGGCCCTGGCAACGGAAAAGGGGTGAGTCGATCGATCTTTGGCTAAATGGGGAATGATAAATTTATACCATTTCTATTTCAGGGTGGCGGACCTCTCGACTGCCTCCTGTCGTACCAAATCGGAAATCATTATTTGTCAATTCAAACAATTCATCATTCAAGCACCACAATTATAATGTATTCTAAGGAACATGCGAGCATAAAAGAACATAATTTTTAAATGTAATGTAAAGGCAAAATTATTATAATAATATTTGTTTAAGCATTATACAGACATTTATGATTCTGGTCTTATCAACATTTTACAGGACTTGAGACAATGTCCTTCCTTACAAGGTTTCCAAGGGCCCCACCAAATGCCGTCTTTCGATATTTTTGTTGAATTTTTATATTCGCTAGTCAGGCAACATGTACTAAAAAATAAGAAAAAAATATAAAAAAAGAGAAAATTTTAAATGTAAATATTTACTCACTTTTCATTTATGTCGGCAGTCCACCACCAGAGACCATTTAGGTTCCTATCCGTACATTGTCCCTCTTTTTTTTTTTAGGACACTAGACACTTTGAAGGTAACTGCACATTTCTCGTGATTCCTTAAAGCATCGCCAGCGTTTCCGGAATAGGATCCTAGAGATTCTAAGGCGTATCCTTTCGCTTTACTTCCAACAACGAAGTTATCATATCGCGCATAAGCTTTCTTATTATTAAAGTCCTCAAGTTCAATGAGCAATTCATGCCGGCGACTTTTTGTTATGTTATGCAGTTTATCAAAGCCTAGAAAAAACTCCTTGTCTTTGCTGGCACTGCCAATCACATTAAAAATGTCAAATGTATTAAAGTTTAAACTCCCATTGAAACGATGAAGAATGAGCATCCACGACATCCCTAAATGCTGCTCATAAAAGCCTTTCGGTTTGTCATTTGTAATAGCATCTATTTTAGCACTTGGGTTTAGTTCTATAATTCGAGATATTAATTTGTCTTTATCAGCTTTGGATTGCATTTTTGATATTGCCAAGTCCTTTTCTTTTTTCATAAGTTTGGATTTTAAATCAATTATTTCCAAATCCAATTTCAAGATTTTATCAGTTAGCGAAGCATTTCGCACTTGACTTTGCTCACATTGTTTAATATATTTTAACAGTCTGTCATCTTTTTCTTTAGAGTTAGCAGCATGTAGATTTGAATTTGACTTTAGTTCAATAATTTGATATCTTAGATGAGCTTCGTCCGCCTTGGACATTTCCAGGCTATTTTCCATTTCCTCCAGCTGGGATTTTAAACCAATTATTTCCGAATCCAATTTTGATATTTTATCACTGAGCGACGCATTTTGTGATTGACTTTCTTCCAATTCTTTCTGCAGAGTCTGAAAGTCTTCAATGCAGTGCGCAGAATCTGAAAGATTGGAACCCAGTAATAAATGATTTGGCATTTCATTTGATGTAAAGTTACCTTTCTGTAGCTCGACGCCATTTTGTGGAGCTATTTGCTGGGACTGAATAGTACGCAATTCCTTTGTTTCCTTCATTAAGTCGATTATAGTATTCAGCGATTTTATTAAGTCATTCTTATCCTTTAGTGAATCCTCATAGAGTTTGATCGTAGCCTTTTGATTTTTCCCCGAGTCTTCTAATTTTTCCTCCAGTTTATTGATTTTCTTTCTCAGACTTTGGATCAGTTTCTTATCACTTGTGTTATTTACGTCTTTTTTACCGCTACTGGGCTGCAACTTTAATTTATTAGAAATATCTTTAAGGACGAACTATTGCTTTTTACATACCGAGGATTCCTCAGATGTTGATGATCCGTCCATATCTTCTGATTCCATGTTATTCTTTCTCATTTTTAGTCCATATGCACTCTTAATTACCTGTGAGAAGTGAAGATGCAACAGTAATGCGACTAGAGATGTGAAACAAGTGCATGCAAACTATCGATAATTAACAAGTAATTAAAAAATAATCTTTCAAACTGTTGAACAGTTTTAATTGATTCTAAATAAGCTTATAATTAAAAAGGTACGTTTAAATGCTAAGAAAGCGGCTACAGTACGATTTTTAAATTTAAAATAAAAATAAGTGTTGTAAAGAGTGTAAAGTAACAACAGGTGGCAATGCAAATAAAAACGCGTTAGCACTTAGCTCGAATGCGTTTGGGTATTTACACTGCCTGCGGTCACACCCTGCCTTTGTTTTGTTTTGAAACTGAAACTGAAACGCATTTAATTTATTGGAAAACTCGGCCAAAATCATGTCCCACGCCGGCTATAGCCAGCTGCCCAGTGGCAGCGACCAGGAGCGCAGGCAGGCGCAGCTCTCGGCCAGCACCTATGACGTACTGCAGCGGACGGCGGACAGTATTCAGAGGTCGAACCAGATTGCCATCGAAACGGAGAACATGGGAGCGGAGGTAAATACCCTGAAAATTATCATCTCCTGAGCTTATTAAAATATAATAACCAATCAACAGGTGCTGGGTGAACTGGGCGAGCAGAGGGAATCGCTACTGCGCACCACCCGCCGTCTGGAGGACGCCGATCAGGATCTATCCAAGTCGAGGGTCATCATCCGGAAGTTGGGCCGCGAAGTGCTCTACAACAAGATCATCCTGATCCTCATCATCCTCCTGGAGGTGGGCATTCTTGTCGGCCTTCTGGTGCTCAAGTTCGCTCACCTCTGAGCGGATGTCACTCTATTCCAAAGCTATAGCCACGAATCGGGCGTTGGTCTATGTATATGTATTAATTGTTGCGACTACTTTGCCTTAGTTATGAATAAGTTATACCACATGTATATAAAGGAAATGAACAAATATATGTGTACTCAGAGAAGCCAGATTAATTGTCATTACAATAAGAAAAGCCTCTTAAAACAAGGGATTTTCTGCCCTGAAATTTTTGATTTGTTTAATTCAATGCTATTTAAACTAAACTGAATGTTTTTCTAATTCATTTCGAATTGAATGAATGAATGAATAATTTGTATGCATTTTTTTAATTTGCCAGATTTTTTTGTGCTTTCTTTTGAGAACAAAAAGTGGAAAATTTTTAACAAATTAATGTTAACTGCTTAGTAAATAAAATTCAGGCAGATTTTTTTGGAATTCATTCATTCAATTCTGTTAAACTCAAAATTCAAATTTATTCAATTCTATTAAACTCCAAATTCAAAATAATTCATTGAATCCATTCATGCAGGGCTTTAATCAATACTTAAAGACAGTTTGTAGGATATACCCATCAATGAATCGGGCGCTTGATTATGTTTATTCATGTTCGCTAAAACGTTAATGCCTTAGACATCTATAATATGTATTATGGTAGTAAAACACAGATAAAATCGGAACTGGACGCCGGAAGCTCTGCACGCCGTGTCCTTCATCCCAACATCCCAATGCATATGTATGCTATAACAATGATAATTAGTATATGTAGTTCGTGCAGCACGATATGCCACGACTATTTGGCAAAAAGCAACGATAATTACACTCAGAGGGCGACACCTAATACTTGATCTATGATAAACGGTTACACATAAGTATGAGCATCGCTTAGGGATGCCTTTGTTCGAGAGAGATGTTTCATTCCTTTGGAGCAGCCCTCCGCTTGAGCCGCCTTCAATTGTCCTTCGGCAGGACGATGGACCAGCCGAAAACGCGTCGATCGAAGCCGCACGAGAAGAGATCGCAGTCGAGCAGCGGCTCCTCAGCCCAGGCCACAGATGACACCATGCGCCGGTGGCCCTGTCGACTGGTTCGCGGCAACCGGGCCACTCGCTGCCCGTTCAAATCGAACAGCCTGATCTGTCGGTTGTCGTGCGGTATGGCGATGATCCCGCCACTGGACACTGCCAGTCGGTTGACCGAGGAATCCGTGCGGATGGTGGCCAGGGCGGATCGCATGTTGCGCAGCTCCCACACTTTGATTGTGCGATCATCCGAACCGGACACCACCTTATCGTCCCGCGCAAACACACTGGACGTGACCGTTTCCGTGTGTCCCTGGAAGACCGAGACGGCCGGAATGGCCTCTCGAAAGTCCCACAGCCGGAAGGTGGTGTCCCTGGAGGCGGTGACCACCAGACGCTGGGTGGGATGTGCCGACACGTGGGTCAGCTCGTGATCGTGGCCGGTTAGCGGCTGCAGTGGCTGGCCCGTCTCCACATCCCACAGGATGGCCGTGCGATCCCAGCTGCCCGTGATGATCTGGTCCATCGAAGACAGCCAGTCGGCGGCCACCACCACGGAGAGATGTCCTCCGGGGCCGGTGAACTCGCAGAGCGGAGTGCGCAAGGTGTCGACTCGATCCCGATCCTCCACCTGTTCATCACTGTCATCCAGTTCCTCCTCAGAGGAATGACCCTTCCTGGAAAACAGAGAATCTTTAGCTAGTTATCATGACTCACAGTAAGAAGATCAGTGCTGCCATCACTCAGCTTGAAAAACAGGACAGATAAGCCAAAAAAAAACGGAAAAAAAGGACAACAAACAAAGTAAATGCGCCTCCATTTTTCTGTTTTAAATGGATTTTATATTAAATTCAATTATCTAACTCACAACCCGACTCACAACCTTCTTCGTTTGATCATTTTACCATGGTACATTTTTGTGCGTATACGTAGTAATCTAAAATTATTTAAATAATAAAAGCATTTCAAGTAACTACATTGGTAATACAAAAAAATTCAATATCTGCGTCAAACCCGAATAAGAGTCGTTCAAATATGAAATTTTTTTCTGACAATAAAAAACAGAAAGTAAAAATTGAGAAATTTTTAAAATGTTTTCCCCTTTTTTTTAGCTACAGAAAAAATCGTACTATAAAGAAAATCCATCGACTGCTTTACGTCTCTTTAATAATTTGTAAAAGTAATTATTTTTTAAGTGCCGAACTGTAAGAATTATGGTTAAAAAGGTGTTTTAGCATATAAAAACAGGTTTATACACTTTCGACTAGCAAAAAAACAATAAAAATCTTATTTTTGAAAAAAGGACAGATTTTTTTCGGATAAAGCCGTTAAAAAAAGGACAGATCTGTCCGGAAAAAGGACAAAATGGCAGCACTAAAGAATATACTTACTTGGGCACCTCCCAGTTGACGGCAGCCTGCCAGATGTGGGCAGTTCCATCTCCACTCCCAGTAAGCACGAGATCCCGGTGCTGGTGGAACTTGATGGAGTTCACGGAGCCCGCGTGTCCCTGGTACTGCAGCAGGCACCGGGCGCTCTCCACCCCCCAAATGCAGGCCGTGTGATCGGCGGAGGCGGTGCCAATGATGGGCTGTCCCGCCTTGGCGGCCACCTGCCAGATGCCGTCCTTGTGGCCGCCGAACTCCCGCACCACCGTGCTGACCACTGTGGGCGCCTTGAAGCTGGACACGATGCGGCTGGTCTGGGCCTTGATCTTGTTGCTGGCCTTCGCCTTGCTGCCGCCGGTGGCGCTGCTCAGCTTGGCCTTCAGGCTCTTGTGTGTGCTGGATGCGGCGGCCAGGAAGCTGCCGGCCACCTCATCCGCCTGGGTAGCTTGTGTGGCCAGGGCGGTGGACGAGGCCTGGGTGCTCAGTGATCCTCCGGCCGCCAAGCGCTGATCCTGCTGCATCGCCGACTCCTTGGTGGCAATCTCCAGTTTCTCCTGCACTGTAAAGGGAGTTTTAGCTTTAGGAATGCTTTAAAGGCTCGTAGTACTCACATGTCTGATTCTCCAGGTAGAGCTGCTCGAATTCCCGCTCGATCTGGGTGAACAGGAGGTGCAGGCGTGCGCGGAAGGGTGCATCCTCGGGAACGGCGGCCACGTCCTCCGTCAAACTGGTGAGGCGCACCGCCCGCGTCTTGTTAGCCTTCATTTTAGCCCTTTGCAGCTTTTGCACTTCTTTGTTTTGTTGTGTATCTCGCGCGATTCACTGGTCGGCGATTTCCGTTTCCTGTCGCTGGGCGCCAAGGGAATCCAATTAGCGGTCGGGGGTTGCAGAATCGCGCTTTATTGATCCATCTTCCACTGGTTGCGACGCACTAGCTGTTTTTGGCTGGCTGGTAAACTGCTGTTGCACTTGGTTTTCGCAATGATAATACCCAAAGGGGGTGGCGGTGGGCGAGGGGGCGGAACAGCTGGCAAGGGAGATGTATCAGTAAGTCGTGTGTATCGAGTGCTATCGATTTTAGGGCTATCGCAAATCTCACCCTGCCTATCGTACACTGAGAAAAAGCATTTTTGTTATTTTAAAATATTTTTATTAAAACTACTATTTGATAATTACAATTAAATTTACATTTTAGTATACTAATTATAGTGAGAATTTATCATGAACAAAATGTATCGAAAGATCTTTTTGTCACAAAGAAAATTAAATTTAAATTATTATTTTGTATTTTAATCACAATTTAAACAAAAACCTTTTTTTTAACATTTCCCAAAAAAAACATAAAATAATTGATCATTTGAGTATTACCTATGTTATTTCTTGCAGTGTCATATTGTAAGAGGAACCAGTGTTGGGCAACAACTAAATTAGTTTGTAGACTAGAAAATTTGACACGCTCAGGTAAATAAATTTAAATCTATTAATTGAACATTTTTAGATCAAAACACGTTGGCAATAATTTATAAGGGTGGATTTTCTTGTTTATAAAGCATATCGTGAGCCTGGAATCGCACTTTATCAACACTGCCTAGTCTGACAGCTGTTTCGTTTGGCCTGTTACTTGTAGGTACTATTTTGAAAAGACATTGGAGTGGGATTGGGGTTCCGAGACCCACAAACCTGGCCACCATTTTAATTGAATCCCAATCGAACAGCTGACGTACCGCAGGCCCCGTTAGTTTTTCCGATCGCGTTGCATATCATATCTCCCATTACAGCGCTGCAGTCGAATCAAACCGGTTTGTCTTGTCACCTCTCGATTTTTCGGTGGTCTCGCATTGCTTTTATTTTGCTCCTCGGGTGCCAACGAACTCGCTGGGTCTTTGCTACCACCATCACCTTTCATCCTTTCATTCAGTTCAATTCAGTTTGGGATTAGAGCAATATGAAAAACGTTTTGGATGTAATGTCGTTGCAGCAGCACGTGGAGTCGAACAAGGCGCAGACCATGAAGCCCATCGACTATCGGTGAGTTCGGGGATCCTAACTCTGTAGACTATAAAATAATTATATTTATGCCGCAGCAAACTGAACAAACCCGGTGTGGTTCCGATGTACATCTTCGAGTGCGCCGCCAAGTTGAAAATGAAACCCCTGACGGCTGCCTGTGCGGCCATCGTTTACCATCGTTTCTTCCGGGAGGTCAAGGCCAGTGACTACGATGAGTTCGTGGGTACACCATCTACCAGAAATCAATCTCATCTCACAAGTATCCCTCTTAAATCCCCAGCTCATCGCCGCCTCATCGCTGTATTTGGCTGGGAAAATCAAGGACGACGAAAGCGTCAAGATACGCGATGTAATCAACGTGGCATATTGCACCCTGAACCGGGATAATGCTCCGCTGGATCTGAACGATGAGTACTGGTCGATGCGGGATGCCATTGTCCAGGCCGAGCTGCTCATCACACGCACCCTGGGCTTCGATCTTAACATAGATCTGGCCCACAAGGTGGGTTTTTGGATTTTACAGAGCTTTTGCAACATGTAACCGGTTCAATTGCAGTACTTACTCTACTACATGAAGACTCTACAAGACTGGGTGGGTCCCGAGGTGTGGAACTCGGTGCCCATTGCCAAGGCGGCTGCCTCCTATCTGCAGGACTTTCACCACAGCGCCAATATCCTCAAGTACAAGCCCACCCATGTGGCCATCGGTTGTTTGTCACTGGCCCTCCAGACTTATGGCATCCAGGTGCCGCTCACCGACGAGTCCGACGAATCGGCCATGTGGTACAAGCCCCTGGTCAAGGACTTCACCCGCGAGAACCAGTGGGAGATCATCGAGAACGTGATCGAGGTGTACAAGCATGAGGCCTTCCTGAAGGCCGCCTAATCCCCCTCCCCCGAGACTGCCAAATCCATTCCTTGCTCCATCTGAATTTATTTATTTTCCCCTCACACCTCATAAACCTATCTCAGTTTATACAATGGCCTATGCTCAAGTGTCCAATGCATTTTACATGATCCTCACCAAAACAAAATAAAAACTACCTGGAATGAAATGATAGTGAGCTCGATGGATGAGAGTACTATTGTATCTTAACTCTATTCCTCAACTTTTACTATTTGTACAATAAGAAAATAAAAAGGTGTTGTGTTCTATGGAAATGAAGTGGTGTTGCTTAAGTATGTATTTAAAGGTTAAAGGGGTAATTAATTCGCGAATTTTTAAGATTCTGATAGTACGAACTATAAAAAAAAAAAATTTTATCGCGTATACGCATTAACTTAAAATAGTAACCTTTATACATTTATTATACATACATTGAATACATTTATTATACATACTAAAACTACTCGATAACTTACTAATATATATTTAAATTTATAAAATGACCTTAAAAACAAATTCAGATTACCCAGCTTGAAATAATTAATTTCCCAAAATGGGATGACAACCCTATTCCCTACTCAAACAGTGTTGACTAACGCCGGCATGTACAAAAACAATGCGACTTCGTAAACAAAACATATTTTTTATACAGATCACAAGCAGACCCAAAGGACAAGGACAATATGCGTAAGACGTGGGTGAAGCGGGAGAACATATACTTCAAGCCCTTCTACAAGCAGAAGTCGAAGATGTTCCTGCTGCTCATCTTCCTGGTGGGCATCTCCTTCATCGCGTACCAGGTGAGCCCCGCAAGGATTCGGCTGTGCAGGTGGTGTGCTTAATGTGTGTGAAACAATAATAACAGGCCTTCTCGCTGAACCAGCTGCCCGGAGTGCCAGCTCCGTGGAATCTGCAGCAGATCAAGCGGAAGCACCAGCAGATGATGCAGTCGCTGGGCAGCAAGCAGCGCGACGACTTTGATGGGGGAGAGCAGGATGCAGTGGCTCCAGTGGGAGCCACCTCGTCGGTTGCTGGGCATGACGAGCCCATCAAGATTGTCAGGTGGGTGGATTAACTCGTTTATATAAGCATACCTCATCCTCCTACTCCTAATCCTTCAGGGGCACCCGGCTCTTCGACTACGACGCCTACAAGCCGAATTTCGAGGGCAAATTCCGGTGTCTGGATGGCTCCAAGGAGATCGCCTTCGATCACCTGAACGACAACTACTGCGACTGCGAGGCGGATGGCAGCGATGAGCCCAGCACGAATGCCTGCGCCAAGGGCCGATTCTACTGCCGCTACCAGAAGCGTCACATCACGGGAAGGGGTCTGGATGTCTACGTGGCCAGCAGCCGGATCAACGATCACGTGTGCGACTGCTGCGACGGCAGCGACGAGTGGACCACGGGGGCCAAGTGCCCCAACGACTGTGCGTAGTGGCTGGCCGGGATTACCCATTCCCCCGGCTTAAGCCCAGCCCATTCCCTCTTCCATCTCCTCCACCTGTGCACCAACCAGGACACCAATCTCAAGGATGAAGCTGTCTGGCGCATCACAAGCGATATTTTTTGTACGAGTACAATAGAATTGTAATTTATTTTAAAATAAGTAGATTGAATAAAAGAATTTCAAGAAATACGATGACTAGGAAGGTTCCAGTTTTCACATTCGATGAATTTTACTAATATTTATTGTAATTAAATCATCAAATTAGTGTGAAAACAGGACGATTCCCTCATGTGTTTGTTATTTTATCCATATATGTATGCTTATTCATTTTATTACCAGACCACAAAAATCAATAGAATTTACATTTGGGAATTCTTTTGGGTTTTCTCTGAACTTTTTTGGTTTCAAATTCGCAGCGTTTTCATTTATAATGTTTAATTTACAATCTACATACACATCAATATGGTATGACCGTCGGTATTTTTAGTTAATAGGTTTCTTGCCTAAACGTTTTTGTGCATTTTAATCCGTAAAATGTACAGCGACAAACTCTAAAGCAATTTTGAACTGCAAGATCTACAAAGGTACGAAATTTTGTGTAATTATTCCCTCATATGCACTATAAGTTTTTGCCGTCTGCCTTGTCTGTTGGATAAGCGGAAGCGGTAATGATCTCCATATCGGTATATTTAGTTTAAGGAACGCGCGCCATTACAATTATTTCTCGGATCTGACTTGGCAAAATTCACTTTATTCGCATTGAGTACTTCATTGACTTGCCCAGCACAATCAGAAAAAATCTACGTATACTATATACCTGGACGAGAAGACTGCTACTGCAGATTCTCGCCTCACAAATTTGATACTTTGCACCTAAGTAAAGTACATTTTTTTGTGATTCTCTTGCCATTTGCAACTTAAAGTAAAGCTTACGCTAAGTAATACTTAATCAGAGGGCTTTGTGGGGTGTGTGTGTGTGTTCTAGGCTGGTTAGGTTAATGCGTCTGTGCGGGATGATATATAAATTCCTTGGGGTTCTTAAAACGAAAATTGCTTGAGACACGCTACAATTACAGTGGATGCTCTACGAAGTTTATATCATGTGCGCAAATCACAAATCTTTTTCAATTACAAATAAATAGATTGGAGTGTTTTTATAAAATAAGAGATGATTTTAAAATCAGCACGATATATATTTATAAGTATATACCTTTAGATGTATCTATATTATTGCACTGATGAGATTATTCCTTCAGTTTGGGGACAATTACGAAAATGAGACGTGTAAGGAGTACAAAAAATAAATGGAATAAATAAATACATATACAAAACTTTTAAAAAGGGACGTGATAGGTGTGAATCGACTTAAGCTAAGTGCTGATGATGCTGGTGGTTCTAAGAAACTTTCTCTCACACAAGTATACATAGATATAGTTAAGTTACAGATCTAACGGCAAAGCGTATAATACAGTTTCTGCAGTTTGCGTTTCGAGCGACACTGATGATGGTGGTGCGAGTGGTGATGTGAGTGGTGGTGGTGATGCTGATGGTGATGCCTGTGAGCTGTTGCCGGATGTTGATGGTGGTGATGGCGCGCCTGCGGCTGCTGCATATGGCTGTGGTGATGATTATTTACAAGGCTCGCGGACGAGGAGGCGCTTAGGGCCACCGCCGACGAGATCAGGGCCGCAGCCAGGCGCGACGAGGAGGCCAAGGCGAGCTCCGGAGCGGCGGCCAGCAGCTGCTGATGGTGCTGGCGCAGCTGCGCCACCTGCTGACGCTTCAGGGCGGCGGTTCCCTTGCGCATCGCGTGCAAGCGACGTCTGTGGTGATGCGGCTGCGGATGCAGTTGCAGCTGTCACTTTGCCTCCTCGCCGGCTTCCAACAGATTGTTGCTACCATTGTTGGTGGCCACCGTCGACTGCTCACTGATCCCCACCACTCCCTGTTGCTGCTGCAGCTGCTGTTGCTGCTGGTTAAGCGCATGGACATGCTGGCAGAAGGCCTGGAGCACCTCGAAGTGGGTCATCAGGTTCGCCGGCTGGTTGTCGTAGTGCAAGTGCCGGGTGATCGGCGCATTCAGCCGCCTCAGCATCTCCGTGAACAGCTTTTCCTCCTTGCGAATCCAGGGCCGACGGTCATCCTGCACCTGGTAGGGCGTCAGGTGGACATGGATGTTCATGCCTGCTTAAGGAGTTAAGCCTAGTTAGTTGATTCTTGATTTGGCATGCGACTCTCTCCACTTACCCATGCGCGTGAGCGTCTCCAGCAGACTGCGGGATGTGATCCAGGTGTTCTTCTGGCCCCCATGTCCGCCATCCAGCCAGTACATGTCCGAGATGCGGGAGAGCAGGCGGCACATGCTGCTGTCGTCGGGCGTCAGGGTTTTCAGATAGTGGAACTCGTAGATAAACTGTAAAATAAATGGGATTACAGATTAGAAAAGGTTACAGAGGTAATTGCCACAATCCTTTCGAATTCCGATGTTAGGCTACACTTTGAAATCAATTTATAAGGATTTATCCGTTGGCAATAGATAGATAAATAAATAAATAAAAAACAATTTAAATAAATGAATAAAAAAAAATCGAATGTTAGGCTACACTTTGAAATCAATTTAGGCTTATAATATAAAAACAATTTAAATAAATGAATAACAAAAATCGAGTTTAAGTTAGAGCCCTGCGTGAATCATTCAATTTTGGTTTAATCATAGTATGCCATGAAATTTCTGATTTGTTTAATTCAATCATATGAGAAATAAATTGAATGTTTTTCTAATTCATTTCGAATTAAATGAATGAATGAATGATTTTTTGAATTTGCCAGATTTTTTTTGGGCTTTCCAACAACAAAAAGTGGCTAATTTTTAGCAAATCAATGTAAACTGCATAGTAAATAAAATTCGGGCAGATTTAATCACAAAATTATGGGCCTTTCTTCTTCAAAAGAAATTGTCGTTTGAATTATTTCGGAATTCATGCCATTCATTCATTCAATTCTATTAAACTCAAAATTCAAATTCATTCAATTCTATTGAACTCCAAATTCTAATTAATTCATTAATATAAAACAAAAGAGCAGGGCTCTAGTTCAAATTCTTGTTAGCACAAAAAGCACATCGGCAGTTCTGAAAGGATTGGAGCAGGCTTAATGGCGAGTGGGTCAACCAGTTAACGAACCAAACGCGACTCACTTGATTGAGCACGACGCAGCCCTTGCTAAAGCCAATCAGCACCAGCTTAGACTTGTCCAGGTTGAGGTTCTCTCGCCACCACAGCGGATTGCTGTCGCTGGTTGCCGCGGATGTGGACGTAGACGTAGCCGTGGCTGAGGCTGATGTTGCAGTTACAGCAGGAGCCGGCCTCGTGGCGCAATCGTTGTTGTAGTGCTCCACATTGTTGCTGGCACTTAGCGCCGTTGTGGGCGAAGTCATCTTTATGGCCGCCGCTGTCTGCTGCTGCTGCTGTTGAAGCGGCTGATTGTTCACCTGTTCCTGGTGGTTGTTCACACTGCTTTCATCGCTGCCACCTCCGCCGATGTTGCCATTATTTCCGGTTACATTGTTCACCGCTTCGGGGGCTTCACTGCCCACTATAGGGAATATAACCGCACCATCCGCATCCACTGTGATGTTCTCCTGCACCTGCAGTATGTCAATGTCCATCTCCTGGCTGCTGTCGTTGGCCGGTGCCGCTTGTGAGTTGGACTCCGAGGTGACCGTTGCGTTGGAGAGCGTCAAAGCAGCGGCCGCAGCAGCAGCGGCCACCGCTGCCGCAGCTGCTGCTGCCTGGGCGGCCTGGTCGAGGATTTCGTTCTCGGGTATGGAGATCAGGCGCTGCGACAGATTCTGGAGCAGTCTAGTGGGGGGATACAAAGTAGGTTTAATTAGGAGTAGCTCAATATTACTTATAAATAGCAAGGACCGTAAATAATCGTTATTTGAGATTTTTATTTTAAAAAGATTATTGTGATACTTTGTTTTAAAAGTCAAAAATAACGTTCTCTTTACTCTTGTCCAGAAAGTATATGCATGTCAACAAATCAGGAAAGCAAATTAACTTTTATTTGTTCATGTCTATAAAACCAGATAAATTGTTGATTACAACTTGTACAAGTCTCAGTAGTCCTTTTAAAATAAATATCCCAAATAACGATTATGTACGGTCCCTGATAAATAGACATAAGACATAATAGACATAAATACGATTTAAAGCTACATTTAATTGGTTACACATTTTATTCATTAAGTTATAATTCGTTTTAGGCAAAACTTAATTGTGGCTTTTGTAAACAATTTTTAACCAATTAAATGTGGTTTTAAATCATTTAAAAAAAAAACAATTTCACCTAAAATCCGATGTGATTTTATAAGTTATAAAACTCACTTTTCTAGGTGCTGAAGGGCATGGTTCATGGGCGTATGATCCGGAACTCCAGCGTTGTTGCCTCTCACAAAGTTGTCAAAGCAACTGAATGTCTTGAACTCCATGCTGCAAAAGGGAAGAAATGGTTTAATTACAAACAAATTAAAATATAATATATTATAACTAATTACCGCACTGGCCGGATGACGATGATGTGCGACCTGGGAAAGGCCTCGCGCAGCAGGATGGCCGAGTTCTCGAGGTTGTACTTCATGTAGCCCCGGCTGTCGCGGTTCGTCTCCATGCTCTCCGGAAAGTCCTGCACATCGCCGCCAAAGTAAATGATGGCCGTCGAGTCCTCCGGCACGTGCACCGAGTGCTGGCGCACAATCGGCGGGCAGTAGACGATGTCATTGGCCCGATTCTGGAATCCGGTGACGGAGAAGATGCGGAATGGCCCAGCCGAAGTGCTTGGCGTGCACAGACGCTCCCCGCTGCCGCCGCCAAGCATGCCCTCGAAGTTACGGATCCGCTCTTGCAGTTGCAGGAATTGATCAATGGTGAGCTGGGGGTTCAGATTGTGATTACATAACGAAAGTACCAATCGCAGCATCACTTTCACAATCACAATCACACAATCGTACTTAATAGAATTGGTAAAACAAATACATGTTTAAAAGTTAAAGTCCCTAAAACCAGCTTACAAAGATTGCAAATGCTTTGCCAAATTCTGTTAAAAAATCCTCATGGTTTTGAATAAAATTAATCTTCTTGATAACTTCGTAAAAAAACTAAAGTATTCTTAAGTGAATAACTGATTTAAATACCCCTAAATTACAATACATTAACTAATAAAAGGGCTACCAATTAATCTTGATAGCTTAGCTCAAAATCTAATACAAATTAAAGGGCAACGCAGAGTGAAAACCCCAAAAAACTTTCGTCTGTTCTTTATCCTAGTAGTAATCATCCTCGTAGGCATCCCGGGGATTCCCGCAGCAGCCGACGAATCGCAGCCGCGTATCCTCCATGCAAAGTTTGGCATCCTCGCGCATCTCGCGCGCCTTCATTCGCACCTCCTCGCGCATCAGGTTGCGGCACATGGCCACCAGGCCCATCCCGAGCAGCATGTAGACGAAGTTAATGGCCAGCTTGGAGTGCTGGTCGGCGGCCACTGACTGCAGCTGGGCCAGCTCATCGGGATCGGCGGCGATATCCTCCTGCAACTTGTGCGTCGCCGCATTCACATCCGCGGTGGTGGTCAGCGAGGCGCCTGGGACAAAGTCACCGAAGCCAATCTTGCACAGCGACGTCATGCAGAAGTAGAAGCTGTTCAGGAAGCTCCACTTCTCCCAGTTGGCAAACATCACAGTCCCCGTGAGGACGTAGAAGAAAATGACCCACAGGCAGGCGGTGGAGGGTACGATGACCTTTTTGCGCGTCATATGTCCACCCTCGAGGGCATCCAAGCGATCCTCCTGGGTGCAGTCGTGCAGGGAGCGGTACAGAAACTTAAATGAGCGGGCTAGGACTCTTCCCATGCTCAGGAAGTACAGGATGTAGAGGGGAATGCCCAAAGTGGCATAGATCACGGTAAATCCCTTGCCCCACGGAGTCCTGGGCACCATGTTGCCATACCCAATCATCGTAATCACCGACAGGCAGAACATCAGGGCAGCCGGAAAGCTCCAGATCTGCTCGGGACTCCTTCCCACATAGCCATGCTTGACGATTCCTGCTATTTGCGCCTGGTACTCGCGCAGCACCGCATTCGTGGCCTCCGTCCAGCGCCGGCGATCGATGAGATTGTGCTCCTCCGTGATGCTCCACAGCTGCTGGGAGCAGTTCTGGCGCAGCTCCATCACGTGGCCAGCGGTCTCGTCCACAAACTGGCGTTCGATGTGCATGAAGGCGAAGGCACCGCAGATGGCATAGAAGACTATGAGGGCGCCCACGCCCACCTGGGTGCACATGAAGGTTACGAAGTTCCGGCAGCATCTTTTCACCCGCTTCCGGGGCTGATTGCTTGGTGTGGAGGAAACACTGGATGCCCCACCGCCCCCTGCGCCTGCTGGGGAGCTTTTCCTTTGAAATTTGCTGGGCATTTCAATGGATTATATAATCTGCTGGAAATCTCCCTTCTTAAAGCCTGGCGATGGGCAATTAATTGCTCTGTTGTCGATTTTCAATCAGAGATAATTTTTGGAGCACGACGACGACGACGTGTGGAAATCAGCAAGTTGGCTAAAAATAAACCCACGCCTTTGCACGGCACATTTTCCAAAAGCCAAACAAACAAATTTTCCTTAACTGCACCAACTGATCAACGCGGGCGCCAAAAATCAACTGCGGGAAAAACTATTTCGAGGGAAAATCTCCGAAAAGGTAGAGAGCCAATGAGAGGAAAAGCCAGAGGATAGGCAAATGTGTGGAAAACAAATAATTCGGCTCAGATATTTATGCGAGCAAGTGCCCGCGGTTCTAAATAAGGCAATTTACGTCAAAAATTTATGAACAGAGCTATCAAGATATTACCAGGGGACAGGTGCAATAATATTGGATAAAGGATAGAACAATTAGTGCTATAATGAAGAATTGTCTAGTTCTTAACAGGACAAATTAAAATCAAGTAAATCATGAAACATTGGGATTACAGGTGTTAGGGTATTCCGATCAGAAGTATTCTTGGAATGGATCTACGTAGTATTTCAAAAATTTTAATTTTGTATTCTTTTTTTTTTAAATTGGTATCACAAATATAACAATATTTTCTGTAAGATACTAACTATGTAAATTTTGGGCTAACTAAACTAAAAGCAATGTACATTTTCATCAGGTGATGAAATATATGATATCTATGATAATGCACATTTCAAAAAATAATTATATGTTTCTAAACGAAGTTATCAAAAAGATTACAAAATAAATAATGAATTTATAATAAGTGTTTTATCTTTGGAAATCTACCTTATGAAATAGGTCCAATTGGAATCTTAGTAGACCTTCACTGATCTTATGGATATACTCATATATACCCTACAACTATACCTCTTACGTTATTTTCACAGTTTCCGAAAGGGATAGACTGACTGGCTGGCGGTCATAAAAAATTATGGCACTTTGATTAACGATGGTGTGTGCGGTGGAGCAGACGGCGGGCGAAAGCTTGCGAGAATCCCATCGGAATCGAAAACGGGCACTATTTTTACACGGGCGATAAATCAAAACGGGGAAGAGCATCCGCCATCGGGTAACAACAATAAATTGGGGGGCCCCCAAAACAAAAAACAAACTATACGTAAATATAAACAAAGAATTAAAAAACGAAAGCAGAGAACGCACTCGCACACACACACTTACGTAGGCGGCTGTGCTGATACAGAAGAAGAGGAAGAGAGATCAAATACGCAAAAACGGGGGGTGAAAATGCGTAGCGAAGAGATAGATTTTTTCAACACCAGCGCACTCGCAAACACACACAGGCGCCCTGGCGCACACACACACTCGCTGCTGCTGCTGCTGCACACTCACACAAACGCACTTGAAATTTCACAAAATTTTATGCAAAATTTTCCGGCGCATCGCACTCTGCATTTACCGCTGCAATCGCTCTGCACTTTTCCGCTACTTACGCTGTTTATTCTCGCTAATCGTTGCGCGTGAAAATTCTGGCGATTTGTCTACACACTTCCCGCGTATTTCCCGTATTCCTCTTCGCCTGTTTTTCTTTTATCTTGCGTCTTCTTCTTTTATCTAGTGTGACCGCGCCATTATCCGCCAATTCGCAATTATCCGGCCCTGAGGTTTTTATTCATTGAACAAACGGTCACGCTGATCGGATTCTATCGATAGTTTTAGTCAAGGAAGATACGTAATTTTCAAAAACGGAAATGAATATGGCGGTTCTTTTAAATACATCTCCATTTAGGTAAGTAAAGCCAAGTGAGTTAAAAAAATAGTTTTTTCATAAGTTTTCTTTTATCTGCGACCAGAGATGGCCGACTTATCGGTGGCACTATCGGTAGTTCGACCCTGACGATAGTTGTACTCCTCTTTCGACAACCCATAATTGTCAAACATTTTTTATTGCAAATCATATAACTAATTTAAAAAGCTTTTAATTTTGAGTTCGATTTTATAGCTTTATTTATATATCGATATTAAACGAACGGTCACAATGACTATCGAACGACTATTAACTATCAAGGTGGCAACGCTAGGATGTTGGCGGTTTCATTTGAAATATATAAAGTTACCAGCAACAATCCGTCCGTAGATTGGTGTAGAAATGTTGCTTGAGATCAGCGGTAAGCTATTTCCGTGTCACCCCCAACTGTGTTTTCTTAGAAATAAAATATTTGTTTTTGTTACATAACGGTAATAAAACTGATTTATTCAAGTGTTCTTTATTATAAATAACAGTTTTACATAGCATGTTAAATTAGTGAAGAATATCCACAACGACCTATTTCATATTATATCATTTCATAATTTGACATTACTTAATTTGTTTTTTAAAAGAAAATAAAATAAGTAAGCGTTACACTGTCTAAAAAACTGGGAAGGTCTCTAGTCTATTTTAAATAGAAACACAAATCGACAAATATTTTGGTAAGTTTTTTATTACATATATTATTGCAAAAACCATTTTTACATTCTTTTTTATAGGATTGCCTGGTAAAAACAGTAATGAAATAAATCAATAAGAATTTTAGATTTGAAACATTTTAAAACTGGTTATAAATTTACTTTTCTTACACACAAAAAATTTTGCTTGGTAAAATTGACCAACAAAGATAGTTACGTAACTATTAAAATAGTTAAGTGTATTTTGTTTTTGCTTTGGGTTTGTGTCTTTGCTAATTGTGTGTATTTTGTTGTTGTGAAATGACTATTTACTTAGTAGAATTGACAATTTTGCTGGTTGGGGCCTGTTTGACAATTATTACAGTTGATTTTACCAAGTTTTTTTTTTGTGTGTAGGTGTCTAGCTTCAAGATAATTAACCCAGAAGCTTCCGGGAACATTATTATTCCAAAAATGGTTTCGTGGTGAACACAACTCTTAAAAAACTATAAGATCGATTGCTTTCATTGATAATGATATTAAAAAAGAATTATCCTTTTAAAAATTATATTTTTTAAAGCCAAAAAAACGCGTAACTTTCGGTGTAATTAACATTTTTAAAATTTAATTCCTTCGTTTAGCGACAAAATGATGTTAAATTTTTGTTTTTAATTTAAAAATTGTTACTTAGTCAAACTATTTTTTCAACATTTGCTATTTTTAACACTGCATTAATAAAAGAAATATTCCTCAGTGACATGAAACTGTCCAAAGTGTATTCTTTTTGTGAACCTTAATAAATACGTCACAACTTAAGGTAGAGAAGACATGAGCATATTTTGTTGTTTATTATTTCATATTTTATTTTTATACTATTCTAGTCATATTTTCATTAGTAAAATCTGCTAGGGTGTTACAATTTCGACTTGCAGAAGCTAGCTTCCGTTCTGATACGTAACTATTGCAGTTATTTATCGTAGCCATTTTAGGAAGCTGAAATTATATACCATTTGAGCTATAAGAAGAATATAGTCAATAGCTATTGATTGATGCAGCTTACCAAACCGAACCAATTACTTACCCCATCACCAAGGGTGCAATCCACAGTGGTATGTTGTGCCTGAAAAGTCAAATGTCCGCCCAAATCAACCCACACCCACCCCATACCCCCTGAATCAGGGCTCCGAACCCAAAACCAAACTCGATCCCGAACCTAACGATTTGAATTGTGCTTCCAAGTAGGGACGTGGTCATGAAGGGCAGAACATGAAACGAGTGTTGTTGATATATGTAATAATAATAATCATAAATTTTATTTGGTTTTATTTGCTGTTTCGCTTGACATTTAAATGCTGCTAGTGAATTATATTTTGATTTTAATTTGAATAAATTGGAAATATATATATTTTTTGTTTGCTTGATATATATATATAGATCTTTATGGATTGATTTATTTAAACTGGTAGACGACGAAAAACTGTTAATAATATTTTCCATTGCTGTGTTGTGCTCCATGATTTGGGCACTGCCACATTTGTATTTGCATATTGATTAATTGAGTTTGTAACTATAGAGCAAAAAATAAGTTACAACTCGCTTTTGCTGTGAATTTGCGCGTGACGAATGTGGAGCTGGGTAGTAGAATCTTAAACCCGATTCCACAGAGCAACCCTCCTGGCCCAGATCTTCGTAGCTCTCCTTTTAATCGGCCGATTACAAGATGGATGTATAAAAATATTTGATTTACGATTTATGCTTAGGTATGGAAAAAAGGTTAGAAAAATCCAGCTAGTCTCCTTTCAGCTTTCTCTAGTTCGTTTTCTTTTGGTTTTTCGCTGCTTGGTTTCATTTGTTTTTTCTTTTTCTTTATATAATTTCATATTTATTACATTTTTGGTACATAAATCTGTGTGTAGTAGTGGTTTGCCTTAACATCTGTGCTGTTTTTGTTTTGTTGTTTTTAATTTTGCGGTAGTTTATTGGCTTAAAGTTTCTCAACTCAATCAACGTAAAACTAAATAAAATTATGATCTCTGTGTGTACATATTTTCAAATGGATATATACACACGCACATGCACGAAACTTAAAATTAGGAAATCAAGTACGATTTTAAAGTTAAAGTAAAAGTAAGATTAAAGAATAACTAGAAAGTAATTTTATACATTTTGTGCTTTGGACCGAAAGATAACAATTTTGAATAATGCTATAACAAAAAAATGTTCTAAATAAATATGCAAAAGGCAAGCGACCTCAGCGAAAGGTGCTTCTCCTTCATGATATTTTATCTTTTTTTTTTGTTATTTTTTCACTTTAAATTTGTATTTAGTTTTTATGTAAAGTTTTGTGCCGAAAATATCACATTTAATTTTATATTTCATTTTGCTTTGTTATAGATGTTTTTTTCTAAATTTATTTTGTGCCGAAACAGAATTTTGTCTATCACAAAATGTTTAAAATTAATTACTTTTGCCGTCTCTGCGGGGACGTTTTGGTTATGGTAATCAAGGAGCAAGACAATCGATTACAAATTATAATGAATTCGTCCAATTTCTTGCCAATTGAGCAGACAATTAAGCAATTTAAAAATATAATTTCTATTGATTTCTCCAATCATTTTTTTTTCGATTTTTGTGATATGATTTTATTTTTCTTGTATAGCCCTCATATCAACTAACATTTTTTCTTCCGGTTTTAATATATGTTTTAGGGTACGTTAACTAAATAAACATTTGACCATAAATATAAACAAGCTTAACAAAAAAGTGAGGTGGTTCAAGTGGTTCGAGCTAATCCTAAAAAACTTTAACTTATCGCATAGGACAAAATCAGAATTATGGGAAAGAACACAAGGGAAAAAAAACAGAGGAAAACATCGGTAAACTATTGGCTATCGAATTGAAACCGATTAAAATATAACATATATGTGGTAGTTTATGTATAAGTGCTAACGGTCTACATAGATTAAAATTAAGCAATCAACAATAAAACTGAAATGCATTTGAGGTATATGAAAATTTCTTTGTAGTTGGTTGAGTAGCCCTCATTCCGTCGCCTACTCTGCAGAACATATCGGTTAAACACTACGATCTAAGCGCTAAACAGTAAACTAAACTAGAACCTAATGTGACCTTCGTATGAGTAGTAGTTGTAGTGGGTGACTGTTGCTGATCCTCCTTCTCCTTCTCCTGGTGACCCCACGCCTGCGGTGGTGACCCCAATCCGCTGACCGAATCAGCGCAAAGTGATTTCCTTCGACCTTCTCTCTCTATCATTAGTTTGGTTATTAATTTGTAGTTTTTAGGAAACAACATTTAGAAACCTTCGAAACGGTTTGTTGTGGCTTTAAGAAAACTCTGATTTCTGCCGCCCTGTTTTACATATAGGGTGCAATCCTTCTTAGCAACTGAAACCTTTTCCTAACTTTCTTTAGTTATACACATTTATAAATTGATGGGACGATTGTGTCAAAGTTTACCAATAGTTTTTTATATTTAAGATTATCAATATACTTTTCTTTTACGCGCGTTTTGCCATAGCATCTTCGGTTCTACTAGTTTTGGGTTATTGTTATTGCTTGGATAGCTAGTGGGTAATGTACAGACGACGACTAAATGCAAGAAAAAATCCACCTAGAGCTGCAGCGATTTACAATAAATTCTCGCTGTAGGCATATCTATTGCTGAAGTTGCTATAGTTGCTGATGTAGTAAGCTGGTTGCTGCTGCTGCTGTTGCTGTTGCATATGTTGCTGCTGCTGATGTTGCTGATAAAGCTGGCGATGATGGGCTGCATTTGGGCCCCGGCCACGCCCTTAAATGGACGAGTTGAGCTTGAGCAGGCGGTCCGGATGCTTGACCCGCAGATGGGAGCGCAGCGTATCGATCCTGCTGTAGGTGGCCGGGCAGTAGGGACACATGGACCGCTGGGCGGTGTGGGAGTGGAAGTGGTGCCAGCGATTGGTGACCTCCTTGCCGCAGGAGCGGCATCGCCACATGGTGCCCGGATCGCGGGACGGCGTGAACATGTTGTGGTACGACATGGTGTGATGTGAATTATGGCCAGCTGCTCCTCCAGCTCCTCCTGCTCCTCCTGCTCCTCCTACTCCTCCAGCTGCTCCAGCTCCTCCAACTCCCGATCCTGCTCCACTATTGGGCGCATTGCCCGATCCCGGATTGTAGCCATGGGCGGGCGGGCC